GGAAGAGCTTCTTGGGCGGGTGAAGAATTTCCTTACCTCCTCAGAAAGCTAGAATATTGGGGCACCACGTTTAATAATGCTTCACTCACCACGAAGGCCGCCCAATTCCGCTATCCCTCTTTCGGATGAAACGTCTGCTCGTTATATGTCCATAAGGACCTATCTTAGGTGTCCAGAATTTTCAATCTTAATTATTATGATAGATTCTTCGGCGAATTCGGAGTTGATTTTTCATTCAAGAAATTTTTCAAAAAGTTTATATCTTTTTTGTATATTGCAGCCTTTTATTAAATATTTTGATAATCCACACAATCTTTAATTATATAAAATATTGAAAAAATTTACTTGAATTTACATGAGATATGACAGTAAGATTTGATTGTATAAGTTTATATAATTTCGCGAGAAATTCTTCTTTGTTATCAATATTATGTTTTATTTTAATTAAGGAAAAATCAACTTCAAATTAATCAACAAATCTAATTTTTAAAATTAAGATTAGAGAATTTGGAACACACTTATATAATTTAACACGCACGGCTTAATTAAAGGTTATTAGTTGTCATTAGTTGTTCCACTAATTTATATTTCACCGAATTCTTAAATTCATATTTTATTATTTTCAAAACGTTACTAAAAATATGACTTATTACTATAAGATTCATTATTAATTTGTCCGATTGTAAGAAGAATTCTGCGGAATTAGGGACTGCCATTCAATACTGACTTATCGCTAACTTAGCTTTATCTTAAATGCTAGATATACCTTAAGGTCTATCGGGCAAAAGGTAGCATTTGGTTTATCTACGAGTCATGTTGTTAAACTTGTCATCTATTAAAGACGTTATTTTGACATCTCAATTTTGTTCAATCTTCCCCAATTAATGTAGCCGCAAAATAAGAGAAAATGGTCTTCATAAAATAATTTTTGTAGAGCCTATCTTTTATTAACAATAAATACACTTGCCTACAACTCGTAAATAATTATCGTTATCTTGATTTTAGCACCAAGTTCTTTTTTTTCATTAAAATTTTCTTTAAAAATCAATTTAAAAACTTTATGTCTAATTCTTTTATTATTTATAATGTATTTTTTATTATAATATATTTCAAGTTTCATGCATAAAATACATTTTAAAGATAGACTCTAAGAAATGTCCGGACACAAACTAGGTCGTAGTTACAGATAGCCGAGACTAAAAAACGCAGCTTTCTACGCGACCAAAGAAATTATTCTGGCGAGACCCGTAGACAAACTGAATGATCCTCTCCGTCTTCTGTAGACGGGCTACCGAATTAACGGGCTCTCCCGATAGGTAATCCGACGTTCGTGGACGATGATCGTCGTCCCGACGTACACGTATGTCTTATGCGCACGTCCACGTGCGTCTTATCCGAACGGGACGACGGAGCTACATGGCGAATGCATTTTCTGCTTGCGCGTGCAGCATGCATACAGCGCCTCGAGAGCGAGGTCGGCGGGGGTGTATCAAAGGGAATCGATAATGAGGCATGCGTCTCGCTAATTATGACAACAAGGTCTCTACGGTATAAGAAATGGGAGAGACAACTCAAGAACTGGGGATACGAAACGATGACGGCGGGCTTGCTTCGTATACTTGCCGATGACGAGTCGCGTAGTCGTTGCGCGAACGCTTGCGCTTAAAGCGACACGTTTTTCTCGACGATGATCCTTGATGATCGAAAGGATGACGACACCGCGAGCGAATGGATAAGAAGCGATTCTCGCTTGATGACGCGATCTTGCCGAGAGAGTTTGCACGATCGTTCGATAAAAACAATGCTGGACGAATGAGTTTGCGGCAATTCCTCGCGATTGGTCCTCTCGTGATATAATACAACGAATTTTTTAGATTTTTTTTTACAATTATCTTTTACTATAATTTAGATTCTGGATTATAAAATATTTTTACAATGCATATATAATTTTGACTATAAAATTTTTAATAATAATTTGCAATCAAGATTAATTAAGATAATTGGTCTTTGATTCGATTAACGAAAGGATGATATCGCGAGGAGACTCGACGAGTACCTCGGCGATTATCGATGATAAAGATAACGACGATAACGATGTGAATGAGTGGCTGCTGCGCGATGATGTATACTACATCCACGTAAACTCCTAACGACGCATGCAACATGCTGGACCTAAGTTCCCATGCGAGTTGCACGATCGAAGAGAGACGATAATGATCATCATGAAAGCTATCAATCGATCTATATGTCGTGCGATGATTCTCGCGATGTATATTTTCCATGTATATTTATTAACTACTTTGCGACTCAATGATTATGAAGAGATGAGAGCACGAATCCGATGATTAGAGAGAATGATTCAATGGCGGCGCAAGAATCGATATCGAATCTGAATCCAATGATTCAGATCTAATGATGCAAAGCTGATGAAATTATTGATGATTATAATGCTTTCATATAGTGACACCGATTATCGTGATCGAATACTATGACTGTTGAATTTTGTGGCACTTTAAGATTACAAGATGAGGCGAAGAATATGAAGTATGTGGCGCGATGATCTTGACCCTTGATTGATCGTTTTTGCGTGTCGCATGGCGAGTATTGTATTGATGCTTGTGATTGTCGATGTGAATTGAGTGCGTTCTTCTCTTAAATGGGACAGGAAATTATAGTGAGCAAGGAAAGGATAGAGAGAAGAACGAGAAATGTGAAGAATATACATGAATGTGATGTGAGACAGCATAGGAACGTAATTTCCTTTTTTTCTTTCTTCTTTCTTTTTTTTTTGCCACGGTTATCATGATAATATGGTGTAGGAGATTGTAAATTATCTTCGTTATTGTTGATTGTATTCTTGACCGGTTGAGAAAAAAAAAAAAATTTGAGATAATCTGAATGTCTGGTAACTTCGTTGACATGATTTAATCGACTGGATGATATCATTAAAATTAAAATATATAAATTTTCGATGAAAGTGTTTTACCAATACTCGACTTGCATGTTGGGATTTTTGCGTTTGGAATGCAAAATGCAGTTGTCTCATCCGCGAGTACTCGACCTGCGCAAACAAATTTACATCCACTATTTAACTTTTTTATGGATTTATTTTAATATTTTTTGTCCGAGACGAATATATATAAGGAAAGAAAATATTTTCTATAATTAGCGCGCAAAGCCTTTGTGTCATAATTCCATCTTTAAACTTTTAACTTTGGAATTATGATATTATTAGCAATATCAAGCTTTAGCCAAAATAAGAGTTACATAATTTTCCACAACATTATGTTTTGAAATAAATATCAATAAAATATTTAATTATTTAGAAACACACAAATATATCAATTTGAATTTTTTTTAAGAAAAAAATTACGTTTCTCCAAGAGAATTTTATGTAATATTAAGTAATTATAATGTATTATTCGTTATAAATTTTAACTAAAAAACCGCGATTTAGAATGAAATGAGCTGCAATGGATGTGTCGTTGCGATCTACAGCCAAAGAAATAAATAAATAAAAATCAATGATCTCTCTTCTCCTTTACGCGTGATCCATCACGGTGGTTCCTCCGTAGCATCCGCCAGGGTCTTGAACCTGCTGAGGATCTTAAGAAGGATCAGTTTCCGCAGAAAATCGCGTAAAAATTAGCGGAAACAAGAGGTTGACAACGCGCGAAAACAAACTCGCCTCCTTGCGTTTTTTTCTTCATCACATTATTATTATCATTATCATCATCAGTATGGTGACATAACAATTTTCATAATTATAGTGCCGGTTTTTCATTATCGCGAGAGCGTATATCGCTCGTCTCCCGTCCAGGAGGCGCAAACTAGGAAGAGGACCGTTTTGTTTAAGCTTTAAAGATGAGGCTGACCTTGCGAGCGTGTGAAGCAGTCGTCCCCAGGACGGCGTTTCGTCTTTCGCACGAGTAAGATCGCGAAACGTCGACCGAGGCGGCGGAAAATATCCGGGTTGTCGGAGAGAGGGAGAAATCGGTCTTTCCCTCCCTGGGGAAATCGTCATCCCGGATCCCGGTCGTCGCGGTTCCATCCTCGAGACGATGTGGGAGTTTTATGGAACGGAGGGAGTGGGAAACGGATCGGTCAGGGCATACCCAGCTCGACCATTGCAATCACATTTTGCAAACGCTGCAATCCGGATGCGATTAATCGTGTCAATTAGTCAACGTCCAGCTTCCAACGTACGAGCAAGCGAAATGACGTGTCGGAGATCTTCGCGTTACATAATCGAATGTTCACCGATACGACGCCTTACGATCTTATACGAGTACACGGTAGAAAAATAAGGATTGTCACAACCTCGGAACGGCCTCGGCTGTCCGGCCTCGGCAAGCGGGAACATTTTGAGCGTGATATGTTTGGAACAGAACGTGCGTCATTTCGAGAATCATCCATGTTAGAGACTCGACTCGATTAATGTATTATTCGTCTATAATTAAGCCAGGTATAGCCCGTAACACGTATATTATTTGGATGCGTTTGAGAAGGAGAAGGGTTTAGGAAGGAGGCTGGATGCAGAGTTAGATAAATCGCTGTGAGCTACGAAAATATACCGGCGGAAGCTTCAGGTAGACTTTTTTTTCTTACCTATCTACCTACATACGCATCGTACACGCACACGCATCTCTTCACATATTGTATATGTATATATATTTTTGATAGAAGTATGTGTGTGTGTGTGTGTATAAGTATATATATATATATATATATATATATATATATTTATATATAGACGTAATTCTCTGCGCGTTCCATTCAAATAATTTCTCTCTTCTTCTCTGGTAATCTCCATTTTCACCATCTTCAGTTTCTCGCCGCGCATCCGCAAACAACATCAACATTCGTATAATAGACATATTTTTAACAACGTTCTCGTAAACTCGCGATCTAAGGCCTAAGAATTTTAGATACGCATGGTTTTCTAACCGCGTTGCAATATAGCAGCTACCGAATTATATGTATATATGACTTTCTCGTTGACTTTCTCACCGCGGGATCTCATCCGGAATCCTCGCGTACCAAATCTCCCTCTTATCTCGCGCCTCTTTGACTATACTTCTCTGGTTTAACAGTATCGATGTCCAATGCACGTTTTTTTAATATTTCAGAATATTCAGTTTTTTCTCGACATTTGTATATCCAAAATATCTCTGTCGAATTCATCAGACAACATTCTGGATATAATGTCGCAATATCTAGAGGAGAAAAAGGATATCGAAAGGTAAAGAAAACAGGTACGTGTTAAAATGTATGTGTATGTATGTATGTATCTGTGTATGTGTTTGTGTGTGTATGTGTGACGGACGCGGTCGACGAGAGTCGAGAAAGGTAAAGAAAACAGGTACGTGTTAAAATGTATGTGTATGTATGTATGTATGTATGTATCTGTGTATGTGTTTGTGTGCGTATGTGTGACGGACGCGGTCGACGAGAGTCGGTGAGAAGTAAAACGACGTCCGTTCTACGAGTCGACACTATGAATACACTTATGGCGATATTATTTACGTTAATCTAATCCCATGCTAAAATGGCTCCTCTAAAGCTCTTCTAAGAAGGAAGACGGGAAAATTAGCGACGCAGCGAAGATAACGCGACGTCGGGAATAACGCTAGGCCAATCACACGCGATGAAATACATTTTCGCTCATCTAGATAATAACTTGTTCGCGTTGAGTCGCTCGTATCGAGCAAAATGTAATTTGCAAAGTTTGCAAGTTTATTCGTTTTAATTAACATATACTTGATGTGTTTTTCGAGTTTGTGTATTCGTACTCAAGAGCAACATATACTTGGGAGCAGCACGTTACGTTGTTTAGGGAACGTTCGTGCGATAGATTCTACCTAACGATTCCACTATAGCTACAGACTCTATTTGCGATTAAATATTCGCGCTACCGTCTCATATTCTGTAATTTAGATACTAGATATGCAAGTATTCGGCTTGGTACTAAATATTCAGCCTTTAATTAGATTTTAAAATTAGATATAGAACTTGTTCCATATTATCACAATATTCATAATTTCGCGAAAAATGTTTCTTTTTTCGCTTATCACTTTGCTATATTTAATTATCGTTCTCCAATTTTTGATTCCTTTTTTTAACTTTTCTTTCAGATAGAACCTCTTTCTTCCTTCCTCTTTTATAATGTCTTATATAATGATTTATTCGAAATAGAAAGTAATTTATTAAAAAACAAGTATTAGTACCAAGTATCTCTTTCCGAAGACTTTTCAAACTATTTGTATCAATTGTATCAATTGCTGATGGATTATTAACAGGGCTCTGTTTCGTAAAATTGCAATGTTTGTAATATTAGATGGAGAAATCTACAAAATGCCATTAAGTTATTTCTGAAGTTTCATTTAAACTGTAACAAATAAAAAACTATTAATTATAAATAGCGCTTTTAAGTATGCTAATAATATCGATTTAAGAGATCAATTTCATTTCTTAAAAAATACTTTTAAATGTACAGAAGATTGAATGAGCTATTTTATGAAAAATTTGATTATCTTATTGTCTTACCGATTAAATAATTGCTAAATGTCTGAGTTTAATTAACATTTAGTTTAGTTAACAAAGTAGAAACTCGCGTAATAATACTCACAGACACATTTCTTAATCATCATATTAAAAGTCTAATTTTACGAAACGCAGCTCTGACTTAAAGTCAGGGATGTGTCGTGGCGCGTAGCCCGAGATCGATCAGATTCTCGTCAACCGCATCGTCGTTTTAATTCTCACAGATTCCTAAACTTTGTACGCGCGTACTACGTTCTAGAGAAGAAGACGAGGGAAATCGAAAGATCCTCGCGTGCGGAAGTCGCCGTCTCGGCGATCCGTTCTTGCATCAACGCCAGCTCTTCGGCTTCCTCTCCCTTCAACGGAAAAAACGTCCTACATATTATGTACGCCCGCCCTTCTCTTCGACCTTCTGTCACCTCGATTCTTTTCTTCGCGGCGATTTAGCCTCTTCACCGAAGACGCTCATTTTCCTTGCTTTTGGATAATCATCCTCGATAAAAACAACACATTTTTCTCTCTAATTTTTTTTTTTTTCCGAATTGCCCTCATTTCAATCCAGTCCTCCGATTTCAATGGCTCTCGAAACTAGCCGACGAGGATTACGATGACTACGACGACGACGACGACGACGACGATGACAACGACGAAGACGACGATGACGATGATGAAGACAACGACGACGACGATCAAGACGAAGACGACGACGCAATCGTGATCCTCGTGTACCTGTGTACCGGAGAAGAAACTCTCGACCTCCCGCGCCGTCCCAGCTGTCACCCTAGACGGCGTCGTTCTTTTCGATGCGCACGTTGTTGATGAAGAAACTTACTTGCCGTTTGAAGTTCAGGTCGTGCTTGTTGAAGGTGTGAGCGTGCAGCGCGAGGGCGCCCGCTGCCGCCGGCTCTAATTGTTTCAAGTGTTGTTGCATTTGCTGCTGCTGCTGTTGCAGCTGCAACTGATGCTGCTGCTGTTGATGTAAATGATGATGATGGTGATGTTGATGATGATGCAGCTGATGAGGATGATGGTGGTCGGTGGCGTAGCGATCGGTATACGGATTGACCACGCCAGTGGTGGTGCCCGACGAAATACCGGCCAGGCACGAGGAACCGCCACCGACCCCGACACCACCGCCCATGCCCAACCCGCCGCCGCTTCCGGTGGTCCCACCTGTCGAACCGGCAAGTAACGAACTGGTTAGTGGCGCGGACGACGCTTGGCCACCGTACGGTACCAGCGAGGTCATCATGGACGGTCCCCTGACCAGGGCCAACGTGCCGGGCTGTTGCTGACCACCCAGGCCGGTCGGCTGCTGCTGCTGTTGTACACCGCTGCTTGGCACAGCGGTAGCTTTGAGCAATTGCTCCCGTAGTCTACCGCCGCACTCCTTAATACGCTGCAACTCAGCCTCCAGTAAAATCACCTCCTTTTCCAGGGTCGTTATCCGCGCGTCTTTCGTCTCCATGATAGCGGTCAGGGTGGTGCTACCGGGCACGCCGCCTGGAACCGCCACGC